TTTTGCCTGCGTCCTTCCTGCAAAGCGGGCGAGTTCCAGCCTGAGTGAAAGCAGCGCCCGGACTCCCCGCTCCCACCTGGGTCAGGGCTTCACACCCCTCCACGCCCAGCTCAGAGATGCGCGCGCGTGGATGGCAGGGGAAGGCTAAAAACCGGTTCAGAGCCCACGTGAACTGTGCCGTGAAGTCACCCCCCCAACAGGATTAAGGCTTATAGACTGAGGCTAGGTCTACACTACCCACCTGAATCGGCGGGTAGAAATTGACCTCTCGGGGATCGAATTATCGCGTCTCGTCGGGACGCGAAATCAATCCCCGAATCGACGCTCTTACTCCACCAGCGGAGGTGGGAGTAAGCGCCGTCGACGGGAAGCCGCGGAGGTCAATTTTGCCACCGTCCTTACAGTGGGGTAAGTCGGCTGCAATCTTAAATCGACCCCCCGCAGTGAAGACGTAGCCTGAGTAACTCTCACCACAAGCTGGCAGGACTGGAAGGGATCTGCTGGCTCAGAGTCCAGGCCCTGCTCTCACAGGTACCTCTGTCCTATAATCCAATCAAAATTAATCATCCCCTCCCCCCCACACCCCACTTCTGTTGGGGTTCCCAAACCTCCCTCCCTCTGCAGACTAGAAACCTCCTTCTGCCTTCCAACCTCCCTTACCTAATGCCCTGTTCATCCCCAGTTGTTCTTGTGCCAGCACTGCCCTTTGGCTTCAACCCTTCTCCCTCCCGGGTGGAGCCATCAGATCCCCCCCTCAGCCTTTGTAGGGCCAGGCTCAGCCAGTCTCCTCTCCTAAGCCAGGCCTGCATGCCCGTATCCTCCTCATGGCTCTTCTCTGCCCCCGTTCCACTTTGAATTCCTCTCCCTCGAACCCGGTGCCCAGAACTGAACTCTCTATCCCAGGTGAGGCTTGGCCAGCAACCTTGCGAAGGGCCTAAAATCCCTTCCACCGTCCCACTAAGGGGAGCCTGGTGCACTCTGGGAACCTCATTGGGGCACGCCGGGTGCCAGTGATGGGCTTTCAGACCGTTCCAGGCTGGTTTGGGAAGCGCCCAGTTTTCCTACACCTCCTTTACTTCCCCGTCCAGCTTCGGCTCTAACGGACATGAAGCCTATTGAACCTCAGCCTCTCTCGGCTCTCATGCACTGTACCCCGCCGGCTCATAGGACTGCTCTTTCCTGCCCCAGGGGGAGAGGAAGAAGGTTTATCCGGTAACTGGATCTCACCCGCTGTCTCCTGGAGCTCACCTAGGGCAGCAATGCTGGCCGGGCTGAGGAAAGACAGGTTCTTAGCCCCCAGCCGCCCTGCAGTATCAGCGGGCCGACGCCAACCTGAAACAGCAGACATCACACACCCCCAAGCGCCGGCTGGTAGAAAGGAGCAGCGAGTCTCCCTTCTCCTGTTTCCTCCTAGCATCGACTGGGAACCAGCGAGCAGCCTGGAGAGGTGAGAGCAGCCCGAGCTGCTTCCAGTCTTTAGGGAGAGCCTTCAAAAGAGACAAAACTGGCTCTTTCTGACTTGCAAGTTTCCTGTGTGCTGAAGTGAACAGATTTGATGGCTTTATAGCAGCGGAGACGGAGGAGTTACAGCATTAGCCCATTAGTTTCAGCACTTGCCACAGAATGCTCTAGAAGTACCAATCCGTAATCACGACTGCTCAGTTGTGGGTCAGAGGGCCTCTCCTATGAGCATAAGAACGGCCATACTGGGTCAGACTAAAGGTCCATCTACCCCAGTATCCTGTCCGCCGAGAGTAGCCAATGCCAGGCACCCCAGAAGGAGTGAACAGAACAAGTAATCATCCAGTGATCCATCCCCTGTCGCCCATTCCCAGCTTCTGACAAACAGAGGCTAGGGACGCCATCCCTGCCCAGCCTGGCTAATAGCCATTGATGGACTTAACCTCCATGAACTTATCGAGTTGTTTTTTGAACACCGTTATAGTCTTGGCCTTCACAACCTCCTCTGGCAAGGAGTGCTGCAGGTCGACTGTATGTTGTGTGAAGAAATAAAAAGTAGTATTTGTTTTAAAGCTGCTGCTGATTAATTTCATTGAGTGACCCCTAATTCTTAGGTTATGAGAAGGAGTAAAACATAACACTTCCTTATTTAACTTTCTCCACATCAGTCATGATTTCATAGACCTCTATCATATCCCCCCTTAGTCGTCTCCTTTCCAAGCTGAAAAGTCCCAGTCTTACTAATCTCTCTTCATACGGCAAACGTTCCATACCCCTCATCATTTTTGTTGCCCTTTTCTTAACCTTTTCAAATTCCAATATATCTTTTTTGAGATGGGGCAACCACATCTGCACACAGTATTCAAGATGTGGGCAAGAGCGCCGCCAGCTTTTTTGCCACCCTAGGCGGCGGAAGGTCCCGCCCCCGAAATACCGACGACGACCAGGGCGGCCGAAGATCCGGCCGACGCGGTCGCTGCCCCCCAAATGTTAGTGTCCTAGGCGACTGCGTAGGTTGCCCAATGGGTTGTGCCAGTCCTGGATGTGGGTGTACCATGGATTTATAGAGACACGATATTTTCTGTCTTATCTATCCCTTCTTCATGATTCCCAACATTCTGTTTGCTTTTTTGACGGCCGCTGCACATTGAGTGGATGTTTTCAGAGAACTATCCACAATGACTCCAAGATCTTTCTCGAGTGGTAACAGCCAGTTTAGACCCCATCATTTTATATGTATAATTGGGATTATGTTTTCTAATGTGCATTACTTTGCATTTATCAACATTGAATTTCATCTGCCATTTTGTGGCTCAGTCACCCAGTTTTGTGAGATCCTTCTGTAGCTCTTCGCCGTCTGCCTGGGACTTAACTATCTTGAGCAATTTTGTATCATCTGCAAATTTTCCCACCTCGCTGTTTACCCCTTTTTCCAGATCATTTATGAATATGTTGAACAGCACTCGTCCCAGAACAGACCCCTGGGGGACACCACTATTTACCGCTCTCCATTCTGAAAACTGACCATTTATTCCTACCCTTTGTTTCCCACCTTTTAACCAGTTACTGATCCATGAGAGGACCTTCTCTCTTATCCCGTGACAGCTTACTTTACTCCTTACTCCGCTACTACTTACAGCTTACTCCTCCTCCTCTCCCTTTGCCTCCTGCTACTAGGGGCCTGCGCTTTCGGGGCTGGACAGGTACAGCGGTTGATCAGGTCAATGGACAGGAATACTTTAGTGCACTGGGGAAAAAAAAAAATCTTTGCTTCAAACAACATGGCAGAGTTAGCTAGACTCTAGGACTGGCTAGATTAGATCACAGCTTCCCCCCTTCCTCGGCATCTGTCCCAGTTGACCAGAGACTTGGCTTTAGCTCCCTACTCCTATCCCTCCATGTGTCTAATTACTCACCGACGTTCACCAGCCAGTGCCTGCTGCCTCCTATTCATTTATGCTTGGTCTGATGCACAGCTGGGGCATCAGCTGTGACTACAAAGCTGGGATCGGGAACAGCCGACGCTCCAGTGCAGGTGAAGGTAGGTAGCGGGGGCCCAGCAGAGCTCCGTGCTGTGTGATTCAGGTTGCAAAACACAGCAGGGGAAGGTTTGTATCCCAATGAAACGCAGCATGGCGGGTGATCTTAGCATGCCCATCCCCAAAGCCAGAACGCTGGGCCCCAGGTCAGTGGATGGGAACCCGTCACCTGTAGGGAACGTGCAACCAAGGGCAGGGAGAGCACGCAGGTGTGTCGTAGCGAATCAAATCCACAGCCAAGCGTGGCACAATCCAGTCTGAGACTTCACCGGAGCGCAGGGCGAAGCCAAGCAGTGGCAGGTAGCTAGAGACTCCCCTCCCATGAGCTTCTTGACCCAGCTGGACAATAATCTGAGCACATCCCCATCCACCGTCACCTCCACCTGGGGCTAGTTGCCAGGTCGCTTGGAGAAGGCAGCGGGTCTGATGACGCAGGGGGCCCGACGGGTGGCGACCAAGCGGTAAGGAAAACGCCGAGCCATCCTGCTTGCCTGATTTATTCATTTTATTCCTAAATAAACTGCTCCAGTACAAGGTACAAAATCTCCTTTTCCCCCATGAAACAGAACACGGGGTTTTCAGGGAGTGCTTTCAAGGAACCCGCTTCAAAATCCAGATTCAAGGCCTCTAAATCTAGCGCAGAGAAAATAGTCAGACGTCAAGACCTCTGGGTCCCCTCTCACAGGAGAGCCCAGGGCCCCTAGGGGTCCCACCCTCTCTGGAGAGTCCCAAAGCAGCTGGGGACCCCCCCCTAGGGAGATGGGGCCGTAAACTGGTCCCAATCAGAAAAAGGCAGTTCTAACTGTTACAGGATAACAAAGAAAACAGACGACAGCCATTTAACGACAGGGGGAGCATGCGGCTTTCCGGGAGCGCCAGTCCCGCTTCAGTCATCTCGTTCACTAAAGGGCAGGTGTTTCCCAAGCTGTCCTCCCTTAGGGGAATCATGCCTGACACCCCCCCACAAGCTCCATTCCCTGACCCCTGCGGGGAGTGACTCTCCCTGGACACTGACGGCGCTGCCGCCCGTTGAAGGTCCCTGCCCTCTGAGAAGGCAGCGCCCAGCCCGTTCTGCCGGGCAGACCGGGAAGGTGGCTCACGCTCCCAGAAGGCCCCGCAAGGTTGATTTTGAACATTGCTCGGCCTATGGTGACCGTTCTGCAGTGCCGCGGATTCCCCCCACACCCTGCTTTCCTTAGCCAGGAGAGAGACAAACTTCCCCTCAAGCGACGGGGCATCCATCCTGCTCGGTGCTAGAGTGCTGGCATTCCCATTGCCAAGCACTGAGGCCTGGACCCTGAAAGGTATTTCGACGCCTAAGTCCCAGTGGGAGTTGCACCTTTCAGGGTCCGGGCCTAAAGTACTAGCCTTGGGGAAATCCAGATTTCTGGCATCAAGGGCAGGACAGTCCCTCTCCCATCCCTGGCCTGCTTGAGAAATGCCCGAACAGCAGCCCCGTTAGCCGGGGTGGGGAGCGATGGGGCGGGGGAGCGTGTTACACGACCTGCACTGGATACACAGACAAAATAAACCCGGTTGGGCGAGTGCGGAGGGGTGAGGGGCTAGGGGGGAAGTGAGGGCGACTCAGTTGACGCTGTCCTCGTCGCTGCCCTCGCCCCTGTCGTCTTTGGTCTCGGACAGGCTGCTCTCGTCGATGTTCTCCAGCGAGTCGGCGTGCTGGATGGAGAGCTCCGAGAGCGCCACGGTGGGGAGGGTGCTCTGCTCGGGGAACAGCCAGGGCTTGAAGTGAGGGTTGTGCTTCTGCTTCCAGTCGGGGTACTTCAGGCAGGCTTTGTACATCTTCTTCATGGCCTGGGGGAACGGGCAGAGAAGGCAGGAGACAGGTCAGAGCCACTCAAGCCATCAGTGAATGAGGCATCTGCACCTAGGGTGGCAGATTGGGTGCTACTCAAGTGTGGGCTGGATGCCCCATCCACCGTGATGGAGAGTCATCCGGGTACAATCTAGGCCTATGGGGAGGGGGGAAGTATGCTCAAGCTTTGCCGAGGGCTGCAGATTGTCTAGAGCGGCCTCTGGTCAGAGCCAAGGCTAAGAAACATCTAGGGACCGGTACAGGGTCAAGAAGGCTGCATCACGACTGCATCTTCCCACCTGGATGCTTTCTGCAGTCAGCGTGGCCCTCAACCCTGGCTTAGGAAGGGCAGCGTGGCTGACTGAATCAACCCTGTCGCCTCGAGCCCATCCGTGAGGCACCGCTCTGACCAGCGAGCCCGATAGAGTCCACGACAGACCACAGGAGGGTCACGCCTGCCTCTGAAGGCCTGTGAGCAACACCGAATGCACAGGTACAACTCAAGGGATTTGCAGCCTGTTGCTGGCACGTCAGCAGCTCCTCCCCAGCCCAAGTGGGCAGGGATTGAAGTCCATTGGGTGACCTATGTGAACTGGGCAGTGGGGTCTCATCCTAGTTCAGGGAGCAGCATAACCGGACTCTGAAGGCAGCCCTGTCCCGTGGGTCTCTCTGGCTGGAAGCCTGATCAAGTTCCCTTAACCCCCTGCAATCTGCCTTCTACCCCACCCATGTCACCAGAACTGTCCTTACCAACAACCTGTGGTTGAACTCGACCCTCTTTTAGAAACCCACCCCACCCCACCGCCACACGAGGACTTCACCACTGCCCCAGAGCAGCAGTTCCAGTGGTTCGTGACCCGCACTCTTGGAGATCTCCAATTTCCATCTGGGATTTTTTCTAATCTCAATTGCCAGCCTCTGGATCTCATCGTGCCTTGGTCGGCGGGATAAAGGCACCCTGACACCTTCTCCCTGGGCTGCTACTTATAGACTATGATGGAGTCGCCTCTTCACCTGCTCTTTGGAGAAATGATGGATGGCGGCTACCGCAAAGGTAGCCAAGCCAGCCAGCCAAGAGGCAGAAATCACTGGGGCTCTAATTAAACTGTGTCGTCAGTAGCAGGCATCTCCATTTGCCACCATCCATCACTCTCTGACAATGTTCCAGGCGGAGGCGACAGATTCCTGAACAGCTTCACCACCTGAGCTAATGCATTAAGTGCTGGGCTGAGAGCAAACCAAAGTGACCATGTGATAGCGAAGACTTCAGAGCGTCCTACAGCCGGCCACGTTTGCTATGTCTGTGGACGTGACAGCTACAATCCAGAGCCAGAAGCTCCCAGGAGAGCGCCCAGGAGAGCACCCGCTGCCTACAGCGAGAGATGCGCGTGAACATGGGCTAGAATCGATAGCCAGGCCAGAGTGGGACACTTACCTTTGGAGCCAGAAACTGAGACGATTTGTTCACCACCCACTTAGGCAAAGAACCTACATAACAGAGACAAGAAGAATGAGGCAGAGACCTGGTACCGCAGCCAGGGCCGGCTCTAGGATTTTTGCCGCCCGAAGCAAAAACAATTTTGGCTGCCGCACCCCCCCCCCCCCTTTTTATTCTCCCCCACCCCCGCCCCCGCCTCAACTCCGCCCCTACCCTGCCTCCTCCCTCCAGGCTCTCAAGCCTAGGAGGGAGGGGGAGAAGCGGTGCCCGCGCCGCGGCCGCTTGGGATCTCCCCCTCTTCCCAGGTTTGAGAGCCTGGGAGGGAGGGGGAGACTCCGAGTGGCAGCGGCGCGGGAGGTGAGCTAGGGCGGCCGGGGCACATTTTTAGGGGCGGCATTCTGGCCCTGACAGCAGCTAGTCCGCACAGTACACCCCCAAATGCCTTGGAGACGACCGCCAGTTTGGCCAACACACCAGGCATCGAACCACGAACCTCCAAAGCGAGAAGCATCAGCTGCTACCGCTTGAGCTAACGAACTGAAGCTCTGTAGCTGGGGCTGTAGAAGACTCATTTCCTCTACGGATCAGCACAGAGGGGGACCTGTAACACACTCACCAGTGGGTTAGACCTTCACATAGGGGCAGTGAGCTGCTTCCAGCCCTTAATGCTATTGGGATCTGAAGAAAGCCATTCTGGGAGGGGTCATTCATAGGAAAGTCTGCTTGAGAGATGGCACAGGTCAAGACCACCTTGAGAGCAAGCAGCAGTGGAGGAAGCATGTGGGGAGGTGGAGGCGGTCAGGAGATGGCAGAGTAAGTCTGAGACGGAGTGAGCATTCCAGAGCATGCCGGAGAGGGGCAGGGGGCCGGGATCTGCCCATCTCCCTGAGCACCGCTGTAAAGGGAGCCCCTCGCTCTAAGCAGAACCGCAGTCTGCACCTGGCAGGGCCCCGGGATTTCCCACCCACGGCGTTTCCCTGACGCTGCTCAAAATCAATTCTTTCCTTGAAAAGACGGCACCGCTCAAGTGCTCCACTGGAGGGTGCTACAGCAGGGCCCCAGTGATGCGGTTTATTCCGCAGCTTCCCACGGACAAGGACACAGGCCTCTCCTCCCAAAGAGGCGAGATTGCTAAGGAGGGAGCAGAGTCTCGGCTAGCGGCAGTTCTCCGTACAGCTGGGATTTCGGTCTGAGATCTGCGACCCGGCCGGGTTCTGCTCTCGGGTTCCCTGCACAAGTCTCCTAGGCCTTGCAAGGCTTCTTAGGCTCAGTGCAATAGGAGTGTATATTCTGCAGAGCATCTCAGCCGCACGGCACCCTGAAAGGGTTGGACGTAAGTTAAGAGCCCGGGGAAGATTTTCCGACAAGAGGGAGAATTGATTAGAGGTACAGGGAGACTTCTACAGAGGGTGGGAGCTGCACCAGAGACGGCTCCTCCACACAGGCTGGCGAGGCGGGGAGATTTAGTGACAGATGGGGATCCTGAAACGAATGGGGAGCTCATGGGACGAGGTGATGTGGTTACAGCTCTTTGGACCCGCGAGCAATGGAAAGCAGTGGGGAAAGGGCTCCGATAGCGTCCCTAGAGAAACAGCCTCGCAGCCCCTCAGAGCCGGGACGGCCCCAGGCCACGCAATTACCTTTGGGGTCAACCTGGGCCAGGTAGGTGATGGAGCAGCTCTTGACTCCTCTCCCCTGGATCAAGTAGCCCGTCTGGATGGACACCGCTCTCACCATGTCTTTCCTTGGAGGGTATTTCTGCGGGGGGGGGGGGGGGGGGGGGGAACAAAAACGGGGGGTGTGAGGTGGGGGGGGGGGGGGGGGGGGGGGGGGGGGGAAAGGGGAACAGAAACAGGCTGTTTGTGACTTGGTCTGGGGAGGACAAGGAAGGGACTGGATAATGCACCCTCAGCTGGTTAGTCAGAGGGTCCATTGGTCAGCAGCCCAGGCCTAGCCCCCCCATCCCCAGAGCTAGGGGGAGCTGCCTCCCACTGGGGTCAACTCAAGACAGGGGTGTTCATTCACCATGTGTTGCCCATACTCTGAGAGGCCTTAGCTCAACCAGAACCCAAACACTCCAGGCTTAGCAGGTGGTCCTGGGTGTGGTGGACGAGGACGGGAGCTCTGCCACTGAAATCAGGGGGGGGCAGGATTAGACCCTGTGTCTTTATAGCATGGGCTGGAGCAAAAGCCCAGAACTCCCAACTTCGGGGTACCCCGGAGACAAATTCCAGTTTTGTGGCTTGACTCCACGTAGAATTCAGAGCGTTGGCTAGTGAGGGAGAAGTAGCGCTGATGCACAGCTGAGCCAGTGGGCCTCCATTCTGACCCACAGCTCTCTGAAGCAGCTAGGATCAAGGGGGGCCGATTACATGCTGGTTTTATGATCTACGCTGACGGGCAGTAAGCCGAGAGCAGACCATTAAATCCAGACACGCAGAGATCAAAGCCTACTGCACGACTTAACCCAGTGCCCCACCAGAGATCCTTTCCCTACGGAACAACGGTGCACCACAAGGCACGGTGGGTAGTACAAGCACCACTGCTTACAGCTACATTATTGTTGTACTAATAGTGAGGTGAACGGATGCGGTGTGTGCATGCCTGTGCAATACTGCCTTCTACTGGACAGGGTAAGAGCGCCCAGCTGTGGGTCAGAGGCCATATATATATATATATATATATAGGAGCTAACGGAGAGTCTCCCTTAGGCCCCTGTCGCTTGATCTATCCTTTGGTGCAGGAGGACCCGAGCTCTGGCCCTGCTGCGAGGTTCCACGTGACCCTAGTGAGTAAGACGACTTGGCTGTGAGAGTCCTGGGTGACCACAGCGTTGTTAGGACAACTGATGTTTCTGTGATTCCTTTCACCCCCACATGCAGCCATCTCTAGCGTGCTAAGGCCACGACAGCAAGGAGGGGACAGGGCACCGGGGGCAAACCCCTGGTCTTATGGGATCTTTAATGTCTGTGCAGAGTCGCCCTGCCAGGGTTTCAGCCTGTGGTTCTGGGGCACATGTGGCCATGTGGAGTTGTAGCCTCTTGTGTCCTCCTGAGCCAGTGCTGCAGGCAAGTTACGGTCAGAGCTCAGAGCTGATCCCTTCCGATCCCCCACCTCAGGCCATCCCGCCCCCCGGCTGGTCAATCTGTGGCAGGCAGGGCACTCACGGGGTGTTTGACCGAGTAGTTCATGATGATGTAATCGGCCCCCATGGGCAGCCAGGAGCGCAGGGTGATGACATCTCTGTTCTTCAGGGGCTTGGGGCACTTCCCTGGGAAGGGAGATGGGGAAGAAGAAAGGGGATTTGGCTCCTGAGTTGGAATAAAAGACTTCCCCCTCCCAACTCCCCGGGAGCTAGGGAAGAGAGCGGGGTGTCCTCTGTATCACTAAACAGTCCCAGATCCCCCTCCCCGTCAGCCCCATGCTAGTATCCACCCCCAGAACCCCCTCCACCCCCTCCCCCCCCCCCCATCATCCCCACGCTAGTATCCATTCCCTGCCCCCTCTCCCATCGCCCCCACCCTAATACGTTCCCTGGACCTTCCTCTTTATCGAAGCATTTATGCTGTGCTTCTCCTCGGGATGCTCAGGTCCCACCTCCCCACCCCACTAACCGTCCCCACCGCCTGAGATCCCTTGCCCCCACCCCCAGCCTTTCAGCAGAGGACAATGCTGCCCTGTCAATGTCCCTGGCCCCGCTCCCTCCTTGCTGGTGGCTCTGTTCACGCTAAATGCAGCGGATCAGGCGCACTAGAGAGGCGACTGACCTGATGCTGTCCTAACCCCGTGCCCAGCCTGGTGCTCAAATGCTAGCGCCCACTTCAAGCCCCTCCAGAACGCCCCAGTAACCAGCCCCTGCAGCAGCCGCTGAGTACAACTGCTGCACAGATTTGGGGAGGAGGGGCTCTATTCCCCTGGGACTCAGTCCTGGCTCCCCCCGGCTCCTCACAGGCGTAGTAGCCCACGTCCGAGTTGACGGTCAGTTTCCCAATGTCGAAGGTCTCGATGACGTTCGTGTCCCACTTTTTCCGGTACTCAATGTCGTGCAGCACGTCGTAGAGCGTCTCCGCGGCGATGTCCTTGCACTCCATCCTGCACTGCAGAGACAGACCGGGTGAGAACCTGACGCACGCACAAAGGGCCACTGCCCCGCTCGGGGTTGGCGCCTGGACTCCCACTGGACCGGCTTGGCCTGGCCCATAGACTGCAAGCTGTTTGGGGCACAGACCTGCGAAGGCAGGGAAATATTTGCAGAGCAGAGAGGAAGGACAACCCAAGGGTTAGGCACTAAACGAGGACTCGAACCCAGGTCTCCCATGTCCCCCCCTTGCTCTGCCTCTGTGACAGGGGGCAAGTCACTTAGATGCTGTGTGCCTCAGTTTCCCCATCTGTACAGTGCTCTGCCCCATGCACTGAAGATTGTGAAGTGCTCCAAAACGGTGGCAACGGGTGTCGTATATGCACAGCAGATAAACGGCACGAGGAGAGCTGATCTAACCCCGTTACTCCTTCCAGAAGCTTTCGGAGAGGCGCATACATCTCACCCAAACGGGCTCTACACAGGTGTGAGCCATCTCATGGGACAGGGAGGCACCTCCAAGGCGTAGCGCCCGCTTGCAGAGCACAACCATCGCGAAGGCAGATCACTGGCTTAACCAATGTTTTGAATCGAGAACACACTGCAACGCCAAGCGGGCTACCTCAAGGTAAGTGGTTATTTAGACCAGCCAGCTCTGGGGAGGAAGGTGGCAGCTGTTTAGCAACGCAGCCCAGAAGCTACGGACCCGTTTAGGACAGGAAGTGAAGAACGCTGTCCCCCACTGAAGGCGGGGCAAGGGGTAGTTATAGCGAGGTGGGATGCAGTCCCATATCACTAGATAGGATATTCAGCCAGGACACTGGAGCCAGCATCCCTGCTCTTGGAAAAATAACATGAAGTGGGATATTTGAGTCCTTAAGTATCAGGGGGTAGCCGTGTTAGTCTGTATCTACAAAAACAACAAGGAGTCTGGTGGCACCTTAAAGACTAACAGATTTATTTGGGCATAAGCTTTCGTGGGTAAAAACATCCAAAGAAGTGAGGTTTTTTACCCACAAAAGCTTATGCCCAAATAAATCTGTTAGTCTTTAAGGTGCCACCAGACTCCTTATTGTTTTTGAGTCCTTAAGGTCAGCAGCACAGCACCCCCTGCGACCATGCTGGGCCACTATTTTGTACAGATTCCAGCGAGAGGGAAGAGCACCACCTACTGAGCCCCCACACTGCTCCCTGCAGCACCTGGATTTTCCTGTCCATATATTGACCCTGCCTGACTACTTAGTGCGTGAGAGCTGATGAAAACACAGCCTATGGCTGCAGCATCTTAGAAGCCAAGACCCGGGACAAGTCACATGGTCCATCAATGGCTCTTTGGCTCAGTGCAATAAAACATCCTCACCATAGGGTGCCTGGAGTTAAATTTCCTTCACCCTCTCTGTCCATCCCATCAGGAGGGGAGGGAGGCGAAAATGCCTTCTAAATCCTCTCCCACTGAAGTGCAAAGCTCAATTCCCCGAACTCAGCAGCCTCTGAGCTTGATGATCAAAGCCGGGATGTGATCCAAACCCAGAGGGAGCACAATGGGATCAGAGGCAGGTTTAATTGATCAAAATACAAAGCGTCAGCTCCTCTCCGCCTCCCCTTCGCTGTCTGCAGTAACAATCATACAGACAGTAACCAGCAGATCCTCGGAACAGGCGGATCGAATGATCCCCATTTTACGGGCAGAGAAGCGGAGAGCCTGGGAGGTTCAGTAACGTCGGGCACCAAAGGGCAAGGCAGTGGCAGGACAGGGATCAGGACGGGACGTCCCAGCGCGATTATGGGTACGTCTACACTGCAGCTGGAGTGAGCAGACCAGCCCGGCTTGACAGACTTGTGCTAGCGTGCTAAGAATAGCCGTGACGTTCCCATGCCGGCAGAGGCCCGGGCTGGCCACCTCAGCTCGGACCTGGCGGGCAGGGTGGGTCCAACCCTTCGCCACCACTCACACTATTATTTTCCGTGCACTAGCACGAGCCCTGCTAGCTCGTCTGCCTGGAGTGCTGGGTACGGTTCTGGGGTCTGAGTTTCAAAAAGGAGGTGGAAAAAATCGGAAAGGCTTCGGAGAAGAGCTACAAGAACGATTGGAGGTCAGGAAAAGCCATCTGCCTGGTAGCGAGAGAGTCAAGCAGCTCGATTTAGCTCATTCCACAGAAGGATCAGAGGTCACTTGATCACGGAGTCTAAGTACCTACTAGGGGAGGAGATTTGATAGCCGTGGGCTCTTTGATCTAGCGGAAAAGAGCCAGTGAGAGCCAATGGCTGGTAGCTGAAGCTAGATAAAAAAGTTTCTCATCTGAATTTAACAGGGAGGGGAATTAACGATTGGCACAACTTAGGAAGGGACATGGTGGATCCTCCATCGCCTGGAGTCTTTATATCAAGACAGGAGCTCTGCTCTAGCTGCACCAGAAGCTGTGGGCTTGATGCAGGAATTACAGTGGCAAAGTTCTCTGGCCTGGGCTACGCAGGAGGTCAGACTGGACGACCATAATGGTCTCTTCTGGCCTTCAAAAAAAAACCTATCAGCTCGGGAATCCCTGGCCCCCAGGCCTGTGTTCTGACCACTCGACCGCCAAGCCTCTCTCCTCCAACTGGCATCCAGAAACGCCCGGCCCTCCTTCCAGCTCCCCACACCACGGGACATGGGGTAGTTCACATCACACAGGAGGTCACAGGGACAGGCAGGGTGCTTGAATTATAGGGTCTGTTTCAGTCAACTCAAACTCAAAACAGCTGGGGGGGGGGGAATGGACAGGGTGCCCCCATTGCATTAGCAGTGTCCAATATCGGACACCCCGACAGATTCCTCAGTGCAGAATCCCAGCCAGGCCTTCTCCTCCGAGCCCCGCACCCACTCGCTCCCAGCTCAGAGCGCCCGGCCTTCCCTTGCACAGACGCCCCTCTCTGTTCTGAGGCCCTGACCCCGCTGCCTTTGACAGCGGCAGCGAAACGCTCCGAACTCGGTGCCCGAGAACAGGCGGTCAGAGGATCAGTCCGTTTCCGCAGCCCGGAGCTCCAGGCGTGTGGGTGTGCGCTGGAGGGCTCTGCTGCTCGGGTCTGCACTGAGCGAAACCACCTGCTCCAGGAATACCGACGGCACGGACTTGCTTTGCCACGGTGCTCGTCCCCGAGAGAGGCCGGGCAGCCAGGCTGTCTTTGCCAGAACTGCCCAGGCACATCCACGGACAGCATCCCCCTGACAGCCATGAGACCCTTCAGGCTCATCTAACCCAGCCTCCAGCGTTACCCCATCACCGAACCCTGCTCAGAGCACGGTGGTTGTTACACCCATACCCTGGCTATGGTAGTGCTCCAGTACCGCTGCGCCCTGGCTGGCCAATCAGCCACAGGGACCAAACCTGTGACCTCAGGTTCTGAGCACACGTGACTCTACTCGAGCTAAGGGAGCTCAGTTAGCCAACGCTGTAGCGGGCTCTATGGCCCAGCCACCACTACAGGGAGACAGCACTGCGCGGAGCGGGTTACTCCCAACGTCGACGCCGCAGCGGCGGAAGATCAGAAAAACGCCTGTGTAGACACAGCCGAGTTGCGGCGTCGCCCGGCCTGAGGAGACCACCAGCAGCTGCAGGCAGCCAAGGGAGAGTCTCTCCTAAGACGAAAGCCCACAGAGAATTAAGAGAACCACGCGGGTCTGAATTAGGAGCACCCAACAACGGCACCTGCTGCATTAGAGGACGGATGGGCTCCTGCGTAGGACCAGGACATCGCTAAGGAGAATGGGTGAACCAAGCCCTGGCTTTACTCCCAACGACGGTGCAGCGTGGGGAGGCAGAGAGACGTAGTAGTTAAACGCTTTACGTCCGTGGTAAGGCACTGCTTGGGACCCGCGCAGCAGACGATTGCAGAGGAGGGACCCCTCGTCAGAGGTTCCTCATGGGAGGGCTGGGGTAATTACCAGCACTAAGAGGCAGTCTTGCCTAGTGGCTACAGCACTAGAGTGGGACGCAGGAGACCTGGGTTCATTCACGGCTTTGCACTGGCTACCGGGTAACGGTGCCTCAGGTTCCCCATTTGTAAAAAAGGAGGATGATTCTGACTTTCTTTGGAAAGCCCTTTGAGCTGATGAAAAAAAGCTCTATGTAAGAGCCAGAGATTACAATTATTATGAATAAAATGCAGGTAAGTACTGGGGCGCCTGGTAGGATTGAAGTCTGATCATCACAACGTGCTGCTCTTGTTTGTATTAATCCTGTTCACTGGTTACACTAAACTCTCCTGAACACACACCACGAAGGGAGGGACAGACAAACGGACTTCCCCTGGGATAGACGTCCTGTGCCATACACAGGCTTATGTCTGGAGCTAGCCACTCAGATACCATGGCAATGGAGGGCCAGAGAAACAAACAGATTAGATTAGACGGCTGGAAATAAAAAGGACACTCCTAATGAAGCGTGTCCTCCTAGTACAGCCAACGAACGCCAAAACCTTTCATCTGCCAGCCCCAGCCACTACGAAGAGCAGATCCCTGCTGGCGCTCAGGGCGAGGGCGAAGAAGCGAGCTGTAAAATTGCCCCAGGATTACTACCCCTGCTATTACTTACAGTCGGGGTTTGACTCTCTGATAAACCTGGGGCAATCCTTCGTGGTCACTCGCTTTGATCCTGCAGGTGGTGGCTTGAAACTCCTACAGATCAGGAGAAACCCACTGAAATGGGGGTGCGACAGCGCCGCAGAAACCGAGCGCCGTGTCGCTTGATGCACAGTGGTCAGCGTGCGTGGAGCGTGCGGCGGCACGGAACTCACGAGATTGGTGAGCTAAGGCAAGGGGGATATGCTCGGGTCAATACAGAGAGTCACATCCACACGTTCTCCCCGTGGAGGCCAGCGGAGCCCCCAGGTTTATCACAGCTGTTCTTTCCGACTTGATTGCTGCAAAAGAATAGCTGGTGTCTTGAGACGATCCCATGCCGCATGGGACTGACACCTGCGCAGCCAAGCAGAGATAAACACCGCCACCATCGAGAGATGCTCGGGAGGATAAAAGACTCC